AGAGCTAGAGCGGATACTGCCGTTCGTAGGCCACCGGCTCCAGCTGCGTCTGGGCTAGGAAGCTGAGACACATCGCTCGTACTGAAACTCTTACGTAATCCCAATGCTGACGACAGAACACCGCAGCTGCGAATTAGTTCGTTCTCCTCCTCAAACCATAAAATCTCTGGAATATCTGCCGGCCTAACATGAAATGCATAATAAATAAGTACCAAGTCAAGAGTGAAACAGTCGTATCTCTTCAACATGATAGCTATTGTATTACGAACCTGTTACCCTGAATCTGTCGGGAATCTGGTTTTGGTGAGGGCCCCCGTCCGGTGAGTTGCGCATCGCTGTAGGATTTGAAAGTGACCAACCTGTTGGCGCTGCGCAGGTCGCTTGCGATCGACGATACGCTGAAGAGTGACAGATCGGTGGTGACGCTCTCATGACTCGGTGAGCGCAGCATCCGCGAGGTGACCTGCAGGGCCGGATATTGAGTGGTCGACAGACCACTACCTCCACTTCCGCCGCCACCACTGTCACCACCGCCATCGTTGTTGCTACCACAGCATTGCGCACACATAACCGTGGGTATCGGCGAAGCCGATTTTGTTTCATTTTCGGACATTTTACACTCGTTTACACTTGATGTTGTTTTTCTATTTATCTTTTTTTGTCGCACGACGTTTCGGCCGTTTCAGTTTCTTCCGCGGTAGCTGTAGCTAGTTTACGTCATGCTGAACGTCCAACGCTTCTTCTTCATTTCCAGAGTAACAACTGTATGTAATACACAAAAGATAGTTTAGCGATACAGCACAATTAGGATAAGAAAAACTTAATTTTTAAGTAGAAATCTTCTGCAGGAGAAGCATTTAAAGCTTCCGTTTTATTATGGCAGTCATATTTTATTATAACGTTAGAAGGAAGAAATTCATTTATTAATTGTTTTCTGATATTATATATAAATAAACACAAATAACTTTTATACATAGGATAAAATAGATTTTATATATACAAAGTGTCTCCAAGAAAGGGACTTAAGGCAAGTAAAACAATAAAAGAATAAGTAAAAAATCCTAATAAACATTGATCCGAAAACGAACGGTTGCCAAAATATCTCTTAGTCTTTGTTTAAATATATTGAATAAAACATCGGAATTAAACTTAACAGACATGATTTTGAACAAATCTGACAGACTTACTGTTTGGACGAGGCGCAACCTCATACTAATTTAAGTTACTCCTTAGAAATTTACTCAAAAATCAATCTGAAGTTTATAAACAAAAATCAAGACATCTTGGTTCCGTTTGTTTTCGCATCTATGTTTATTTATATAACTTTTTGACCCCCTATTTTTTCTTATTCTATATGCCTTTAAAATTTGTGACTCTTTTTGGGGAACGACCTGTATATACGAAGATTCCTTTTTCAAAATATTCATTAATTCACGAACTAAAAAGAAAATTATTGGTATGTATGTAAGTTTATTCCATCAATTATATTTGACACGTGCAACAAAACTTAGCTATGCTATAAATATAAATTACAACTTCTCGCTTCCACGTCATAATTTAATATGCAGTGACCAAACAAAAGTATAAAAATATATACTTTTTGTAGAACACTAGTATACTATTATTGTAACTTTATTTTATGAAATATGTAGTATAAAAGCAAATTTATTTATAGTCCGAAAAGATAATTATGGTGAGACTAGAATGTTAATAGACATTATATAGATCACATATAATACCATATTGTAGGTTAGTATGAAGATGGAGAAACTATTATCTAATCGCAAGTCCTTGATCTAATCTATAGAGCTAGAATGTGCAGGTAAGGTGCTAAACGCTTTGCAACGCCGTCACCACGTGGGCGTGGTGAAATATAGTCTCTCTTGTGATGTATACGCCTGTGATGTATGATATGTGAGAAAGCGAAAGTACATTTTGTATTGATACTATTAATCCGGTAGACACTAATTAGCAGTAACATTACATTGATTACATCAACGTTATAATTTCTCACTCAACAATATGTATGTAATATAACACACGTTGAACGATAATAGTTATATTGTCGAGTAGATAATTATAACATTGCGTTATGTTACTGTTAATTATTGTTTACTATAAGAAGTAACTTTTTCTAAAACCAAAATATTATTTAATAAAAGTATCAATTTAAATCTTTTAATATAAAAATTTTTATTTTTTAAAACAAAATATAAAACGTAGACACTTTCAAATACAAACAATTACTCCAAACACTTTGTTTTCTGCAAAGTATATATTTTTAACTCGCATGCAATTAAAATAAACTTATTACATAAAATCTAAGGGGGTAACCACTTAATGTAATCGTGGGATAGAGTCCTCGAAATCATTGTAAAATTCATATGAAATCTCTATGTATATTCCGATAATTACATATGCAACCATTGCAATCATTGTATAATATTAAATAAAATCGTATATTTTTTATCAAATGACTTTATATGTAGTGAAAAAAATTATTTGTAATCAGATGAAATCATATGAAATCATGTAATCTGTGGGACAATATTTCAGCTAGTGATTACCCCCTCGATAAAATCAAATAGACTCTTCGTGAAATGATTTTCAAATTATAATTATTAAAATATCTAATATTGAGAAAATGCAATAAATAATAACTTTTATTTGGAATCTTTTTAAAGGACAATCAACATATTTTTTAATTTTTTAAAGAATCTGTTATTAAAATTAATGTTTCATATAACACATTAAGGAAGTTCAAAAAATTTTCAACGTTTAATTCGGTGATAAATACATAAAATATAAAATTTAATATTATATTATTTTTCCTCTCTTCTTTATTACCTTTCTCTCCCACTCTTTCTGCCTATTTCTATCTCTATCTCAGAATCGATTAACTATAACCTGAGTTAATTTTTTATTCTCCTTTCTATATTGCAGAAAAAAGCAATTTCTAAGCCGAAGTCAACTAAAAATATCGTTGCAAATGATGTATGGACATAGCTACGTAATCGATAATTACATATTCTCTGAAGTCAAGGTTCAAGAACTTTTCCTAAGATTGATATTTCGATATATGTTTTCATCAGCCAGATATTGACTTTCTCGGCCATGTAGTGTGTCATACGTGTCATCCAGCGCAAATCGAATAAATTAAAGACATATATGTTTTTTTAATTATCAAATCTCTCTCCAATATCAACTTTAACAAAGGATACTTAAGAAAGTTAACAATCTTTGACATATATTAAAAATGTAGAAGAATTCTATATAAAAAAGAATAATATATAAAAAAAACATATTTTTCTCTTAACAGTGTATGGCAAAATTAAAAAATTGAAAACACAACACACAACACAACATTTAATGTTTTTTGTGTTTTCCAAATGAAATATTATTTTTTAATAAATATAAAAATCATAAAAAACTTTTTGTTCTAATTATTTAAATTATTCAAGTTCAAATATATTTTTTATTAAATGTGAATAATATTAAAAATAAAATTTACATTGAATTTTTTTTTCATTTAACGTTACAATTTAATTATTTTATGCTTTTCAAAATTCTGGTTTCATTTTAAAATTAATTTCTTCATTGTACTGTTTTCCTGCAAACTTATCCTCATTAATAAAAAAAAAAATATGCGAGCACTTATATTCTACTTGACTTGCCTCCGCAGATTTTCTGTAGACTAGACATAGTCATAAACTAAACTGTTATATTAGCGCAACTACGCGTCACGAGCTGCGCTAATTAAATGGAACTACAGACAATATGTGCGTTCAGCCAGTTTATATCAACTGCGTTAGAATCGCTCTTTCTTTTCGGAGTTGATTTTCATAATGATTATTAAAGTGTCGCTGTAAACTCATCGTCAGCGATGGCAGGCTCCGATAACAAAGTGAAGGACCGGCGCAGTTCTATAAATACGCACAAATATTCACGACTCTCGGCGCACCTAATGTATCTCGCACTGTCAGCCACATGACGACGCGTTTTGCCGTGTCGAGGATGCCGCCGTCGTGAACGGCGAATCTGTCAGCCGGCTGCGTGGCTCCAACGGAGTCAAAGGAGAAGACCCTCGGCTAGGAACGCGCGAGAGAGATACGGCGAGCTACGGAATCGCCGGCACGTGAAAGGGAACAACAACCACTGTCCACACTCGCCGTTCTCACACGCGTCGAGCGCGTCGAGCTACGTCAAAGAGACGACACGATTGTTTCCCCTGGGCTCTACGGTTGTCGATCGTGGCTCGGGCTCGCTCACTGCACAGGCGTCGCTATCGATCGATAGCTGTGCTCTCCTCCAGTTTCGCCGCACCCCACGCGATTCGGCTCTCTCTCGCTACCGAGCTAACGGCCGATCCGCATCCCTTCTTCATCCCTTATCAGCTGCGTGGGACGTGGACCGGGCCTAGGGGCCCTGGGCCACTTGATAGCGATTTTGTTACGACCATTCCCTAATTTACAAAAGAAATATCCCTTCACTTACTTCAAATACCTATACGTTATAAATATAAATAATTAAATATATATATAAACATATATATATATAATAATTATTTGAACTATCAACAGTATTAAATGATTTAAAAAAAAACAAATATATTTCGTAGAAAGAATATTACTTATAACGAATAAGCCATTTTAATGTTTGATTGAATGAGAGGTTGATTGGAATCGATGACCCAAGCTTTCACTCTCCACGCTAGAACGTTCATAACAAATAATAAGCTTCAACATCATCATGTAGACTAGACATATATATTTAGACGTGTATATTTAGACTATTTATGAGATATTTCGATTAACTTATATTAAAATACGAAAATCTTCCTTTCTGATCGAGGAACTTTGAGAGAATAATCGTCACCAAGTTCGTGCAGATGAAAGCGGACGTGGACGGCCAGTTGGTCAAACTTAGAGTGAGTGGGCGGTACACGCGGCGAGGAGACAGGAGAGATGAGAGCTAAATAGAGCCAAAGAGACGAGATGACGCGATTAGCACATATAGCGACCGCAAGCCGTAGCGTAGTTTAGGGTCTCAGCCTTTCTTAGTTGGCGACGGTGTCTCTCGCGAGGAGGATTCGCCGCTGTGCCGAATCCAACAATATACTCGGCGAGTCCGATTGGTCGGCTAAGATATTCTTACGTCCTCAAGAAAAACGGTAAGTCCATTTTTGTCGCGATTCTTGTTCGCTAGCGGCTTTTAGCTTATCGTGACTATAAAATGAAATGGGGCGTTTCCAATTCCAGCAAATAACAAATAATTAAAAAAGTGTTTACGTGAGATTCAAAACTACAGTTTACTTCAATTACATGAAATTCCGTCTCTATTATCGTTGCATAACCTCTGAAACGTTTAAAGACTTAATTAGAGAATTCGTTTAATTAGAGCAATTGAATGAAAAAACACTCTTGACTCCGCATCCTCTCTATAAAGTAAAGGTATTTAAGATAATAGCATTAATACACTTCTCATACCAAAGTATTGGAAATAATATCTAATATACTCATCATGAAAGGATTTATTGTTCTGCTTTGAACAATCCCGTTCGCAGCCTTTTAATGGAAGTATCATTTCCATTAATTATTTAAAACCTGACAAAGTCTGAAGTGGAAACTTTTAATATTAACAATTATTATAATTCTGACTGTGATAATAAAATAATTCAACTCATTCAGAATTTTCGATGTTAAATTTTCGGAGTTTCGAGATTTAATAGCAATGCTGAAAGGCATTTTTTTAATTGCAATTTGATATTTTGCATATAAAATAATTTATATTATTGAAGTACAATTATTTTTAAATTTGTATTCATAAAATATTCTTAAGAATGGAAGTAGTGCTCTTTCTTGTAGAGCTCTCTAATTAAATACGTTTACACTAGAAGATCTGATATATATATATAGATATATACATATGTATTATATATAAACGTTTGAACAAGTTTATAAATACCTGCGCTTTTTTTTTTATTAGAGACGATGGCAAACTCCTCAGAGGGAGACACCGTCAAGCCGACGAACACGAACAAATCAACGACGACTGGAATCAACATTCTCACACCCAAAGAGGGTGCGAGAAAACGACGACGCTTGGAATCTCTGACAACGAATTCGGAGATCCCTGAGAAAACGCAGCGACGCGACGAGTCGTGCAACTTCTATGCGTAAGAATATTTACAATACAGGATTTCACATGTAATACATATTTAAATTATCAGCGTATTGAAAAATGCATCAACGACAATGTAATTAAAAAGATATTTATTGAAATAAGTTTTAATTATATATACAAAAAAGCAGGGTCGGATAAGTTAATGTTTTTTTTAACTGAATAAAGTTAAAGTTAATGGCTTTACAAAATTAATAAAGTTAAGTTAAAAGTTGAAGGAATAAAAAATTAACTTAACGAAAGTTAAGTTAATATTGAATTAACTTAAGTTAAAAAAAAAGTTAGTTTCAAAAAAAATTATTTTTGTGGTCAAAATGTCCTAATTTTTCTTAAAATGAGATTAAATAACAACTACAATATAGATTATTAAGTAAATTAAATTTTTAATTTTTTTATTCACATATGATATAACATAACTTTTTAGGTTTTTACTTTTTAATAAGCCTTAAGCCATAAAAAATGGACCAATTACAGTCAAATATTCTCCTCGCATTCGACTGTAATTGGTCAATTTCTTATGACTTAAGGCTTAAAATAACTATTGTAGCTCCGGACTAAGGTTTATGGCATAAGGCATAAGTCAATCAGAGAGCTGTACTAGTACATCTTAAGAAATTACTTAAGATGGTCTTAAAATATGAACGGATTACGAATATATGCCCTTAGTCTTATTATATTTTATTATTTTTCTAAAGCATTTAAAAGAGATAAAAAAATGTTTAACTTAAAAAAAAAGTTAAAAGTTAACTTTAAAAGTAACTTAGTTAAGTTAAAATTTAATGCATTTAAAATTAACTAAGTTAAGTTAAAAGTTATTAACTTTTTAACTGTTTTTTTTAACTTTTAACGTTTTAACTAGTTACTATCGAACACTGCAAAAAAGAAAGAATTATCATGTAAGTATTTTCAGAATTTTTAACGCTTTAATGATGTAAAAACATTCTTTGGATTAAAAGAAAATGTTTAAAAGAGATAATTTTTAAACTGTAAAAATTTAGAAGAGATAAAATATAGCTACTATAATAAATATCAAAATAAAATAAAAACTTAAAAGTATACTCTCCTAAATATTGAAAGCGAAAAATATCGGCAATTACTATAATTATTGCTATAATCATGTCCTGTAACTGAATTTTATGATTTGCATCCAAAAAATATGAGTTTGACCAATCGGAGAATATTATTTGAAATTGATTACATATTCTAATACACCATGCACATTGATTTCTTACCTTATCACCCTCAGCGAAGCAAGCAGCGAAAGAATGGCTCAGCACATAGAAGACAAAAAAGACTCGTCCCAGCCACGCCTGAGAAAGAAGGATCAGACTGTTCCAATAAATTCACAAGATGTTCGAATGTCACAATCTTGCGAAACAGGCGTGGGAAGAAGTGATGCGACTAGATTAAGGAAAACGATACAATGGCTTGAGGAAGGTGCTCGAAGGTTACGCGAGGACCTGGCGCACGTGCGAACCGAACTACATGAAGAGCGAAGGGCGGCAAAAATCTCTAAGAGAGAGTTTGAATCTACTATCAGAGAAGCCAGATTTGCTGAGGCAACCAAGTATCAATCAGTCATAGCTGAACTAAAAACCAAGTAAAGTATATTTTCACAAATCTAAAACTTATATACATATCCTAAGTCCTCACACACACACACACAATCTTTTATTTCTCATAACAATTTCGGTTCTCAAGTCTAAAAACTCGTAGTAGTCTAAAAATTTATTTGTAATTTTCGAACTTGAATTCGTAAACTATCAAATAATTGGTGTTATTAAAAAAAGTACCGAAGGTAATATTTTTTGTCAGGATCGTCCAATCTGCGTCACCATCGCCGTCGCCGCCATTCAAATCGGATCCCGTCAAAGACGAGAGTCACAAGCGTGAATTATCAACCCTCAGAAAACGCTTAGTTGAAGCTGAGGGCACGATACGAAGACTCGAACAATTGGTGAAATCACAAGCGAGCATTACTCGCAATACCAATAATATTTCTTCCTACGGTGATGCGCGCCGTTTGGAAGCGGAAATACGAAATTTACGCGCAGAAAACGAGAAACTCGAAGAGAAATTGCGTGTAAGAGCCAATCCTTTAATCTTTTAGAGTTTAAACTTTGGAGGGACTTTTAAATTTAAATTTAGAAGTGATCAACTTTAATGATAAATATTGATTATTTTAATAATTACAATTATATTATATAAATATATACATATATATATATATATATTTCTGATATACTTCTGATATATTTCTATATATTTCTGATTTATCTTAACAAGTTTGCCATGATTTATTACGTTCATAATAAATCTTCGTTCTTTTTTATGATATAGTTCTCGCTTATAAGAGATATTTTTACATTTAGATCGCTCTAAATGCCGAGAAAACTCGCATTGCTGAGATACGAGCTCAACGGGAAAATCACGAAGCTGAACTTTCCGCATTGCGAAAATCACTTCGTAGCGATGCTATAAAAATGGTAAGCGCATAATTTATATATCGGAAGTATCATCAAATGACTTAATAGCTCTTAATAATTATACGGCCGTGACGTCGCTCGAAGCAAGAATAGCGAATAATATCGCTCTGAGAGCGATTCACCACTCGCGCGCGGGCACGTAAAAATATCCTCTTTCACGAATACGAGAGCGCTAGCGTCAGCACGAGACTCTTCGAAAATGCTTATTAAAAAATTATGCCCTGCGGTATTGGTCTGCACTAACTTGAAAAGAATCTGTCCAAAATGCAGCAGTCCGGTCTGACGCTTATTCGGACAAAAGTTTTACCGACACGGCGAACAGTTTGCCATAGCATCGACGAAAAAGAATGCCCCTCGCTGTGCGATTACCCAAAATGATCATGCGTTTCCCACGCTATATATTCTTGGGCCCTGGAATTTCGGATGTGATTCAACAATTTGCAAATTGCAGGGCAAATTGTACGTGCAGCAACGATACGGAAAATTATGTGTCGTCTCAAAATATTAGTTTAAACAACTAATTTTTTAATTTAATCCTTTCGATGCTGATATATGAGTATGTAAATAATCATTCAACCAGTCGCCGCTATATAAAAATTGTGATTTTTTACGAGAGTATATTTTTTGATCTTTTTTTATTCTGTTATCAATCTGTTATCAATCTCAAACACATCAAGATAAAAAAAGTATTTTTGGTAATGATTTCTTTCTCTAATCAAGAAGGGTTAATTTTATTTTAGTTTCGTTTGTAAAATAATGCATCAATTATATGTATAATGAATGAAAACTTGCATCCAACACGGAGAGAATTTTCTTTTAAAATTTACCCTGAAAGTAGTTAGTTGTGGTACAATACAATATTTTAAAGATTTTTATCATGCACTTCAATAAAATTAATCAAACTTGTTTTATACTTTATTATAGTTTTATTAACGAATGAGAGAGATTTACATTAAAATTCTTTGAAATACAATGTTGTCCCACGACTATCATATTTTCAGAGTAAACTCTAAGAAAAAATTCTCTCCGTGAACGATTTATTTTAAACGATATCTAATTTCTATCGCGCTATCGCGTCTATGTCCGCATCAGACGCTATATTTAATTCTAATATATTTATTCCTATTCATCGGCACGCCGCGCCGTGTAACTTGGGGAGGCACTTCCCGCTTCCTAGCATGCCACATTGCGGTTGAAATCGTGCAGTAATGTTGTCTACCGCATTGCCAGCGTGGACTAATACGATCGCGACCTAATTCTTGGCAAGCAGCCAAATATCGGAGATAATGAAAAGAGACTCGGTTTTGGCATATGGGGCGACTAAAAATGAAGAGTTATGAATCTCATTTATTTAATGGAAGCCTAATGAAAATTAATTTGAGCGTCAGATTCACGGGATCAATTTTACTGATCATCTATTTCAAATGGTAATTATAAGAGGATAAAATTGTAATAGACTCTTTTGGATTTAAATCAAATTTACAAATATTTAAAGTGAATCGAGTATATTTTAATGCTAAGAATCGAACGAATTCGATTGTAATCATTGTTTTGAAACGAAAACGCCATCCGAAGGATTATCAACCGACGCTCGTTTTATGTATGCAGCCATCACGTTCCGATCGTAATCCGATCATGGTAATAATTGATTTAAGACTTCCGGTCGCCAGATGATTCATCGTTCTCAGAAATCATGTACTGCTATCGTGTGCAACCGGAACAAAAAACACGCGCTCATACGTGCGAACGCCGTGAATGCTTAGAGACATCGACGGATAACGCGGCGTTTCTCTCATCCCACACCTGTACAGACAAGGTGAAGGCAAAAAGGCCCCCGGGGCCTGACAAGCCTGACTGAACGCGGTGGGACGAGGTGAGAGCTCGAAAGCGGTACGAAAGGGACCGATCGCTGCCCCTCTCCTTCGTCATCGCTGTGTATCCCATTCTTCGTCGCGATCGCCGGCGATGTTAATTTTTCTCATTGCAACTTTCGCCACACGTGTCCACGCGCGAGAGATCCGCCGCATTCAAACGAGTTTTGCGGATTTTTGCAGATGGATGAGCTGCGTGGCAAGAGCCGAGAGATTGAGAAGCTGTCGAAGCTCTTGAAACGTCGAAAGTTGGCGCCGGCGGAGCAAGAGATGGTGAGTATCTGCATTTATCTACCGTGTTTCCGCTTCCGGGAAACATGTCGCGAATACGATACGTAAAACTATTTTAAAATACCAGGATCTCTAATGCTCGTATCAGACTAGAAACTGAGATTGAGATTGAATTTGATCGATCAAAGCAAAGTCCATTAAATTTCATATTAATTTCCTTTTTTCTGATTGGTTAAATTCAATCTCAATCTCAATCTCAATTTTGATCTCCATTTCTAATCTGGTACGAGTATAATGCAGAGTCTTCAAAATAATAACTGCTTAGATAAATCGTTTGTACGATATTAGTTTTGTTGAAAATTATTTTTTTGTTTAAATAAGTTGTTATAAATGTATATTATATTTTTTCCAAGATTTTAATTCAAAATTAAGTGTCATGATAAGTTCATTTCAAATCGAATTTATTTGATATTCATTTAATTAAAATTAAATGTTATAAATATTAAATTGAATAATATTTTGTAAAGTTAAATAAGATTTTGCATTTATATCTTTAAAATTTGCCAGAATCTTTTATTATTTAATTCATTACCGCTAATATCGTATCATAATATTTATATGATGAAAAAGATACATCAATTTTGGAAGAAATATTGTCACGAACATTAAACACATTTATTAATGAAATTTATAAACTTTATAAATCGAAATTTATATACTTTATAAATCGAATTTATAAACTTATTTTTTAAAAAGCCTCTTGTTTCCAATCACTTATAATTATTCTGTTTTCACTATTAGACTTTCCACATTTTAGTAAAAGTTAATTCCAATTTGATCACAGAGTTAAAACGTGACCTACATAGAACATTCTATTGTATATCACATTTATTTATTCATAGAAACTTTTTAACGATTTTACTGCTTGAAACTTTTTGTTTAAATAAATTCTGATAAATGCATATTATATTTTTTCCAAGATTTTAATTTAATTTAAAAGAGCCATTTGAAAAAAAAGTCTAGAAACATTATAAATTAAGATATCTTTTAATCTGAATATTAATATTCACTTCATATATTGACATTTAAATCATTTACAGTACATCTACATCTGTTTTAATTGATCGTTTATCACGAACGAAACGAATATCAATAGACTCTTTTGTCTCGTTCTTGCCAGGCATCTCACTCGAAATTCTTCCTTATTTCATTCGTTCTCAGATATGCGCGACGGTAAAGAACCGTGTGAACAATCCAACGGTTCACCCTGAGGACCGGTGCACGATTATCATATCGTGTGACTTCCGATGTAAGTTTATACTGCAGCATCAAGTTCCTAGAAGTCTTTGGCGTGGACACTCGGTTCGTTCAGAGTTAAAATCAACGACTCAGTATATACTCGATTTCTTAAAACTACCATCTGTCCTAATAACAATACTTGTGCTAAAAATAATTTTTAAAGAACATGTCTTCTCGTAAACCGGAAGTACGTCGATCGTGTCCTATTCACTTCTTTTCTTTGTCAGAGGAGTACTAAAAAAAAGCCATTAGTCATTAGAATTACGTCATTAAACGAAAAGCTATAAAGTATGATGGCTCGCCGATGCATGGAAGGTTAATGAACCATTAAGCGAAGCGATACCAAAGTGCGCTTAAAACGATACCGCACCGTTTAAGCATCTTAGATATTTGGACATGCTCCAAGAGATGCGCTGACAACGTTAGTCGCTACTTTTCGGACAACGGTCTTCACTTTCGTCGAAGCGTTTAATGATTCAACGAAGCCATTACGAATCGCTGAATCCGATGGGTATTTCATATCTTGATGGTTCGCTTTTAGCCGAAAGTACTGGAATATCGTGATATCACCGGGTCAACGTACCGGGTCACGTCGCAAGACGACTCGCGCGATCCGTGCATTGTGTATTATACGCGTCTTCGTCATCTTAAAGGAACTTAAAGGCCATGCGAGCGAGCGGTCGCCGCTAAAAGGTTGTAGTTATGCGCCGCACAATATAATTGACACCCTTTCCCGTCTTATCGCCGCTTAATCGAGCTAGCTAACGGTAGCGCGAGATCTACAGTAAAAGCGGTAAAAGCGATAAAAAACCTTTCTTTTCTTTGGCAACGGTTTCGTGAACTCTGATCTAAAAAGAAGAAATGGAAACAAGAGAAACGTTTCGTTCTTCATCTCGAGACTTCTCAATTTCCAATCTCAATCACAAATCTAATATATACTCTCTCTTTACGAAACACTCTCCTTTCGCGAAGTGAAACACACACGACCTAACAACCCTTATTGGAAAGCTATTTAAACGTTATTTCTTTTAATATCAAGAATAATAATGGAAGCTATCGATAACAAAAATTCATTCTTTCTTTCTCTTTCCAAGAAAATTCTCTCTTAATTGAACGATAAATTAGCAAATTGTCCAAATCACACAGGTACGAGTGTGACATGAAGATGACACATAGGAGGGTACACGAGCGCATTGTCTCGCGTCACACCCTTTGACGAGGAAGGGGGGGAGGAGGGAGGAGAGGAAAGAGGGAGCAGTTATGATCCTAATCTTACGTTTCATTGTGTCTCGGGCTTAAGTTCCTGCCAGGTCAGCAAACCGTAGATACGCCTGTAACTTTCCGAATGGAATGGAAGAGAGGAACGGGTCCGCGCTCGCAACTCCGCACACAGGTAGCGTAGAAGGCCCCTGCGATTATCGGAGGTGCCTCGCTTCAGTCTGGTCTAGACGTCGGCCGTGCGCGCACCGTTCTTCCGACGTTCTTTCCCGCACCACTTTCCCGTGCGTGTGCCCCGGGTGTGACACACGATCGAGGGATTTGCAGGATCTCTCCGTGTATCGTTTACCAGGTATACCGGCGTATACCGACATCCCGATACTCCCCCTTTCACGCTCGTTATATGAATTCTCAACATCAACGTGCGCTTCATGGGGTTCGCGTGGAACGAGGTAAGGATTATGGTCTGCGTCTCCCTTGTACCCTTGTCTCTCCTCGTTTACACGCGATTATCCGTTCGTGGTATCCGTTACGTTCAACGCGAAATTGCAGCTTCCCTTAAATGAATTTATCATTTACAGAGCGATTATATAGCGTTTTCGAGTAGAGTGGGTTTGAACCCGACCCGGTTCGGTTAACCCATGTTTGACCCGAAAGTATCATAATCTCGTCCAATCAGAAATCAAAGTAAAGCGTGTGACGTCATCGATCCGACCCAGGTTAGATCCAAACCCACTCCATTCGAAAACGCTAATAGATATTATATTTTGAAGTACCACTTTAAAAAAAAAGATAAAGAAGAGAGATTGACAATCACAATTTTGATTTTAGATTTTATACATTAAAGTGTCACTCAAATAGAAAAGTAAGAGGGAAAGATTGGCAATTATAATTTTTAACCTTTACGCTATGAACAGCTACTATAAGAGGCTTTCACCTATGTGTTTATCACACATGAGAAATCATTATAGTGAAAATTTTCACTGCATATATGTATGTGTAATGACATTATAAGGATTCATCGTTAAAGCAATGTTATGAAAGAGCCTTATTAGGAACATCGTTATAGAAGAAACTTTCAGTAATTTTTTATCAACAAATTATTATTTTTCAATAAATTATGTTGACTGACGATGCGATAAAATTATACACTTCAATTCTGTATATGACAACAGTTATCTTCGAGTATAATTTGTTACGATATGATGACAATGCTTTTTAATTTAGTTTTGTCATTACGTAATCGCTGTATGATATTAAAAAATATTTAGCAATAATAGTAAGCAATAACTGTACATTACACGAATAGTATTTTTAATTTCTTTCTTATCGTTTGAATAATATTTATTTATTAAAAATCGCCAAATTTTAATCTGAAAAAATTGCAAATAAAGCGAAATAAGAAAAAAAAGATATTGATTAAAACAACCAACATAATCCTAGTAATAATAAAAAGTAAAAAACGTAGCAGAAAATAAAATAAAGTAACAATTAGATTCTATTATATAGACGCAATTCAAAATTTAAAAATATTCTAAATGATATACTTGAAGAAATCTAATACTGGCCAATTTAAAGAACAGTAATTTATTACTTATTTGAAATATTAAAACCACTGAACAACAGTGCTTTTAATATTTAAATTAAATACTTAATTACTGCCTTTTAGTATTAAATTGACCAGTATTAGATTTTTATAAGGGTATAGACATTATTCAGGATTCCTACAAATATTTTCATTATTATTCTGCGTGAACAATTGACTGCGACTAAACCCATAGCTCGCAGTCATCGAGATTGAATATTTTCACGCGCCTACTCCAGTTTCGCTGGCGCCTTCTCTTGTCCCTGAGTAGAACGCGAATAGAGCGTGCAGTCAATCGCGTTCCCAGGGAAATCGACATAAGTTGCGTGTCGTCAACGTACCGTGGGAACAATCTCGTGATGCGGGTCGCGATGCGAGAGAAAAAAAAATAGCAGAAAACATGAATGTGCCGTACGATTATAACAATAGTTCCCGTAATTGAATTATTTTGTCAAGTCATTTTGCGGAATAAAGAGTGGATCCAGTTAGCCATACACAGTTGAACCAGCACGTTTCTTATATAGTACCTAATAATTCCGTAAGAGACAATTAGCTGAAAGTAGGAATCCTCTTTAAGATTCCTACTTAGTTTTATGTTCCTACATACTTGGAATTAGTTTTCCACTAATTGGCAGTCGTTACCAAGTTATTACAAGAACTATTGCACAAATTGCCGACAATGTGCTGCATTATTTAATATCGTAAGAATTTTAAATAAAAAGTAGACTGAAATAAACAGATTCTTAATATGTTTACAAATAAAGAACAATATACATAAATATATAAATATGTCGGTCTAATAATATATCATATTAATGTAGCTTGCACGATACATTAACATACCGTGCCAACCGTTAATCCTTTCGTGAAGAGTTATAATAGTAGTTTTCATCATACTATTCATTATGTATGGAGAATTATAGTGATTGCGTTTATAAACGCGTTAGAACTTATCATTCATCTGTGGATCATCTGGGATTATATAAATAATATATTAATTTACCTGAATTAATAACATATACGTTTCAATATTATCCTTCTATAGAAAAGAAAAGTGCTCTTAAAATAGAATAGCACTTTATTACATCATGCAGTAATTTAATTTTTAATTAGCTAGCTTCTCAAAAATTAAGTTCGAACAATCGAAATGAGGAATGTTCGCAAAAGAACGGAATAACAAAGTTTGAATTAAAAAATAATTAGCGTCTATTATATATAATTTACGTAAAACTAGTCTAAGACTAATTTTAAGTAAATTCGCAAATCTATTGAAACGTGTCCGCTCATAACATATCCAAAGTGGATACCTGCGCGTGTAGGCACGAGCGGACACGTAAGTATGCCTTAAGCACTTAACTATCTACCATTGTCCTCCTTTGAGGCGGCACGCGGGATGAATTTCAATGACTCCGCGACGCGTAAAAAAAAGATGTGAGAGAGAGAGAGAGAGAGAGAGAGAGAGAGAGAGAGAAAGGCGGCAGCGATCCGTCGCGATACCGGCTCCAAACGGAGCTGTTATTTCACCGGATGCGCTTCCTCGCTTCGTCTCGATTGCAAGTGGAACGACCTGCGCGCAAGTTCTCCCTTCGATTCTATCTTGAGCCTTCCGAGGAGCCTTTTAGAATCAGCGGGGGAATACTCTCATCGGACTCTCGGGACGAGATCGACGACGGCGCGGCGCCGGTAGGCAAGTACCTTCTCGACAACTAACGATACCGGCGATACCGCCACTCTCGGTGAGCTACTTCGCAGAAGAAAGTTCCCAATCCCCATCCCCCTCATCCCGCAGCAACCACAAAGATACGAGCGCGGGTCATGATACATCGGTGCATGAGAGCGCACATATATTAGCGTGCAATCGAGCCCGCGGTCACGTTACCACCGGACCGGATCACCTCGAGGATCGCCGTCGCGGTTTCTCTATGTACCTACTTAACAACACCTTCGCTCAACCTCGCCTCCTTTATCCTTGACTTTATAAAGAAATCCGCGCGGGCGGATCTATGGGACGAATGATCGAGAGAGAGAGAGATCCGGCAAGCTATTTTTCTATGTCTTTTTTATCGCGAGAAACCACGATAAAGTTACGCTCGCATAACCGCTCGCACTTCAGATAACCGCTCTATCGTGACATTTGGTGCATCCGGATATCTTCACCGCTGCATCTTAACTGATGAGTCAGGATCTTTTATTAGAAAATAGACCCATACAGTACACTTTAACCGAAGAACATCCTGAGAACATCCTTAGGACATTCTTTGGACACCTTTAGAACATCCTTGGGAGATTTGTTATAATTTTTCTTTAAAAAAAAAAGGTAATCGATAATCGTCATTAAGAATCTCTGAGGGACTTGGATCGAAGTCCAAGTTCGTGGTCAGACCACAAACACGATATGCCTTGAGCATCTGTGCAGATGCATGAAAGACCTCGACGGCGTGGGAGAGATGCGCTGAGATGCGCGCTTACGTAGTCTCACGTCTACACGCAGTGCTATGTAATTCCATTCCAATCGTTGCGGTCACGATATTAATAATACCTGAGTAACGGTGGGCGTGCACCACAGTGTAATTAGCAACTTCCTCTCTTAGTAAGAAGTAACGAGCACGCATAGGAAGGACGACACGTTATATGTGTTAGGTGCGTTTGGCACCCACGGCACGTCCTTCGATAACGCGGACATTTCGATTTTATATGCGGGTCGACGAGCGCGCGAGTAAAGCTGACAATGAGAGCGAAAGTCGCGCTTCGAGCGCGACAGACAGCATACGAAGGCTTGGCAAGAATCGAATATAATAATAAATCATAAGTGAGCGTTATATTGTCGCGTACGTATTGGAAAAAATATATATGACACAGAACTAACTACCATTTTTTAAATCTTTATTTTATACTAAAAATTTTATTTTAATTTAATCAAAGTTGCAAGGAATTTAATATATTGTTTCAAAAGCTACATATTCAAGAAGATTGTAATTTTTAAAAAATTCTTTTTTAATATATAAAAAAATGGAGTTTTATTATACATTTTCTTCATAGAAAAAACGGTTTTATTGAAGTATCAAAAAATTTAGCTAGATACAGACCTGAAAATAATTTTTGAATTATTAAAATAATTATACAGAACGTTCAAATTGGAGTGGCTAGAATATTAACTTTTTGCGGTATTGCTCATTATGTTGGAGATTCCTACGTAATTATTTTGATAGTTCAACAAAATTGTTTTCAGATCTGTATCCAGCTAAATTTTTAAATACATCAACAAAATCACTCTTTCGCTATTAAAGTTAAATAATTTATGTTGATAATTAGTTTTATATGTTGCTCCAAAATTTAGAATTTTGTGTGTTATACAATATATATTTGCAGGATTAAAATTTTATTTACAAGATAAAAAAATATTTCACATTTTTATGGAAGGAATTCTCTAATTACATAAAAAAATAAAACTCTTATATTCTCGAATGAAGTAAACGAATGAAACTCGATACGTAAATCTTGATTGACCGATTGCGTGTTCCGTAAGGAAGTTTCGTTGATCCTTAATAAACGGTACACTTAATACACTAGAAATACGCAAGCCATCCGAGAAACACGCAGACGGATTACGAGATCATAAGCGGGGGCGGGAGACGATCGGTGAAAGTGAGATTAGGTACTGTATGGACTGGTACAGATTGAGTCAAGATACCGCAAATAAGATTCTCATAAGATATCCTAAATTTAACCTGTTTACAGAGTGAACGAATGTATAAACAGATATACTCTCGTTACATTACACGATAGAACTGCTAGAAATATGAATTCCTATTATATACAGATATGTTTAAATTGCAAAGAATTTTTTTTAGTATTCTAAATATTAAAAGACGTCCACAATTAATAGTAGGATAATATATGAATAGAGCAATGTAAATAAAAAATAAAATTATAATAAATAAATAAAAATAAAGATTATTTATATTTCTTAGTAGCTTCTGAATTGTTATATTATATAACAGTTTAAGTTTCTTTTTTACTATCTTTTATAGAAAATAATAGCTATATAGGAAAATCATAATTTACATATAATCATTTTTCTACTTAATGACTTAACATGTGAAAAAAATTATTTAGAGGAGTTATTAGTTATTCATAAATAATTAATATATATAAATTATCTAAAAAACTAAATAATTAATAATCTAAAAGAAAAATAGGTCATGTTTTCACTTAGGAAAGAGATTATTTATCTCAATATTTATCTCAATATTTATTAATTACTCATTTATTGGAACATTTTAATTACTTCTATCAATAAATTGTTATATAGAAATCGAAGAGAATCGGATAAAATTTTTACGAGTGAAATATCCGCAACATTTTGGAAAATAGCGTTAATTACTTCTGTGATCATTGAAATTGCTAATTATTTTCAACGCGTGTCCGATAACTGTACACCAGATGTCGAATAAATATAAGAAAACGTCGGGACAAAACAAGATGAGACGAGTGGCGAAGCGCGGATAACGGTAACGCGTGACGCGCTCGTTTCACCTGTCCCAATATGTCTTATATCCGATATAGTCGATTCCCCTGGCCCAAAGAGAGGAGAAACGAGCCGGTGTAACGAGCGCGCGTGTCCAACAATTTACATATATGGCGCAAAGTGCATCATCGTGCGGTGCGGCAAGTGTGCAAGGTGCAATCGGCTCTCTCGGCGCATCTCATACGTTCGTGTGTACTGTACACACGCCGCACGTTGATATCACCTGAGAAGGAAGGAAACTGCGAGGCGTGAGAGAGGGAGGAAGAGGCTTGCGCGGCTGTATGTCAGGGGGCCAAGCTAACGGTCCACCCAGACTCTCAGGACTCTCTGTAATCCAATCGTTGCAACGCAACTCGCGTCTGCTTTTCTCTCTCCTCTTTCTCTCTTTCTCCTCATATATCTCCCGCCTTCCTTCCCGGCTCGTTGCACATATGTCGTATCGGACCGTGACGTTCATCCGAAAGACTGAATTCACTGAAACGATCATGATAGATTTCTGCTACTTCCTTCCGAAGAACGCTAAGAAATATGAACAATGTAACTTTGCTGGCTTTGAAAGAAAACCACATTATTATGTTCCTTCGTTTGAAAATTCAATGATTTTTTTTTATTTACCTCGCAATTACTCAATTAAACATGATATCGATAGGAGAATGTCGGAAAATAATTATAATTAGAATATGTTTAAAAATAATATCATTCAAAAAATTAATATAATAATTTCCGAAGTTATAATTACGAACTTTTTACTTTCCTCTTCTTTCAACTTTGACATTTAATTTTGATAATTAAAAGAACTAAGAAAGAACATGGGCAATAGGAATCAAGCGCAGAAAACGTTGCGCAAATAATACGACTATAAAGAGTAAAACTTCTTTATTTTGCTAAACGCGCTTACATGTTTCGGCTCATTTTTGAGCCTTCTTCGGAGCAACATAAACTCACATATATAAAATATAACAAATATTAACTTGTCATGGTGAGCACCCCTGTATCGAGAATATAAATGCCAGAATTAAACCCAGATAAGAATGAAATAAATAAAAAAACGAAAAGAAAGAGTTATAAGGAGTCTTGGTTAGTTTGATTTGTCATACGAATTTGTTAATTAAAAAATATTCTTATCAGATTTCATTTTAACGTTTAAGAAAACACAAAATATCTTTATATGTATCTACCTACAAGAATAACTTATGATGCAAGCATTCTTTTAGCATTAATTATTCCGATGTTACAGATGCGGAAGTTACGGGAGAACGAGGGAAACCGACCGATACAGTCAACATCTCGCATAGAGAAAAAAAATCTCAAAGACGATGATCACATGGTACGTAATTCTTTAACGCACAATTATATATAACTTTAACGAGTAATTTTTTAAATAGTTCCTCCGATACAAACGCTTCTGATATGCAAAATTACTTCAATTATTTTTCTTTATAAATCTATTAATATTTCAACTATATTGAGCTCTACAGATACACGTAAGTGATTATTTATTATCATATTTCTCACAATACCTCTCATATCTCTCGCGATAAAAGTGTATAATGACATAATAAGAATTAAGGTGGGGTATCGTTTAAGGTGAGGTCATATATGCGCGCAATAGAATCCAACAGAGCCATAAATGAAATCGAGGTCGAGCGTCTTCGTGAACTCGCGCTTGAACAGCAGGAAGTCATCGAAATACTTAGACAGGCAGTTAAGGTAATGGAATTTTTCTTAAGAAAGTAAATATGAATTGAAAATTTGAAAAATACAATTTTTCATTTCTCGTAAATTTTAAAGGATCGTAGAATACTAAAACTAATATACATTATCAGTTTGAAAGAAAGATATTTCAACCTTAAATCTGCAAATTAGAAAAAAACATAGCAAATAAAAGTATAGACATCTTAATTTGAAAAAAAATATTAAAGATAATTTGAAATAGATTATTAAAAATTAAATTTGCGTACTAATAAAATCATTCTAATATAAAAACTAAATTTGAAAAATAAAAATCTGATATCTTTATGTTACTTAAGGAGAGAGAGAGAAAGTTGGAGCAGTTATCCAACAAGAAGAGGAAGGAGGAATTTTATAAACAGTGGCTAGAGTTAGAGCCAGTGGCTGAAGTGGATGACGAGGAGGATCATGAAGATGATGACAGCGCTCTATCGAGTGCCCCGTCCTCGATGTCGCCACAACCTGGGGGCTATGGTCAGTGGCAAGGCAATGGTGTCACTAGAGAAGCATATGAAACCGTTCTCATCGAGATCGAGGATCTACAATCAAAGCTTCTTAAAGAGCAACGCGAGCTATCGCATGCCAGAATTCAAATTTGCGACTTGGAGAAAGCACTCTTGCAAGAGGTAAAATTTGTAATTGTAATATAATTGCTGCATAGTTCTTGGCGATTAATTATAATACAATGGGCGTATAATTCTTGGCAATTTCTTTTCGTTTAAAATTATAATTGATACTTTATGATGACGGATGGATTATAACCTAGGAACAAATATCAAGAATCTTTAGCTTGTAATGTTGCATACTTGAAAATTTTGATAAAATCTTCTGCATTTCACAGAGATGTGCCGATCGTGATAAAGAATTAAGTGGGTTGAATGATAAACTTCGATCTGCTGAAGAACGAGAAGCCGCACTTTTGGTGGAACTTTCGGAGATACGAGAGCAAAACGAGCTGCTAGAATTTCGATTGCTCGAAATGGAAGAAATACCTATGCGCAAAGATAGTCCCGATACGGTGGACAGCGGCATCGTTTCACCAGAACCTGTTCATGCGAACAAGGTAAGCTTTTGTTTCGTATTACACATCCCAAGCCTTAAATTAATAGAGATGATAAAATAACTTATTTTATCATCGATCACTAGGAATTTTTACTTATTATAAAATTAGAAAAGAATTTTTTATTTATTATAAAATTATTATTGATACGCTAACAATCGTTCGTGTATCTTCCATTTATATCTTGCAATGCAATGATATTTCAGGATCATTTAATTAACAAACAGAGAAACCGTGCCGTGGCAACCGTGATACCCTACACAAATGCTACAATGAATTCTATAAAATCTACGTCACCCGTGTTACCGCGAAAGCCCCCGCTTACCCTTCAGGAAAGTGGTATCTTCGAGGAGGAAGAAGAAGAAGAAGAAGAAGAAAAAGTGTATGAAGATGAAGAAGAGCGCGACATCGAGTTTGCCAGCCGCGGTACTCAGACGGAAGCACCGTCCGGCGAACTCCTGCAGGAAGTGCAGCGTCTTCAAGAATTAAGAGCTCGAATTCAAGAACGAGCGGCTAAGATCACAACACCAGTCTTCCATCCGATTGATTCATCTAAGATCTGCTTTGATGTGTCAACAATGGATTCGATAGTCCAGCTGACCTCCTACCAGGAGCGCGTTCGCGATCTCGAGGAAAGACTTGAAATGTACGAGGAAGCTGAAAAGAATCGGGAACAAAAAAAGCGGCTGTCTAAACAGCGAGAAGAGGAGCTATTGGATGAAAACTACAGACTTACGGAGAAAACATACTGGTTGGAAAACGAACTGCGGACCATCAGCGCAAAGTGTACTGTCAGCGAGAATAACAGTGGAGAGACAACTGTCATGCATCAAATAAAGAACATGGGCCAAAATAAACATTCAAAAGATGTACAGAACTTGGAAATTGTACAAGATCAACTTAAAGATCCAAATTGCACGCGTGCTGTTCAAACCATAGAAACATATGGAAATTACATGGCTACAGAATGTCCTCAATGTCAAGATAAAGATAAATCCGACAAGCAGATCACTCTGGGTGCTCAACGTAGTGTCACGGTAATATATGTTGTATTGATCTAGCCCTTTTTTAAATTCATTTACCGATTTGAATAACTTCCCGGGAAAAAATGTTTTATATATAATTATATAAAATTATATAAAAATATATATAATTTTGTATAATTGTATATAAATGGACATATTTTATATAATTCTTTAATTTGAAGCAAACTAATAAACGATCGTTGCATATTTTATAGCTTATATCCCTAGAGGAGAAGGAGAAGGAAGACGAACTGAAACTCTGTAAATCCGAAGAACCGGCCGTTACTGATCTTACCAAAAACGACTTAGAAAAGAAGGTTAGCCGAAGACGAGTTGGGAGTAACGAGCGCGAAATACGGTCCGCGAAAACAGCAAGAATGGCAAATGTCAGATTCGTCCGCGACGTCTCCTTTGGACGAAGAAATCATCCATTAGTCTTGTATCAGGAAATTTGTGTTTAGCTTATGCCGTCGCTATATCAAATCCTTAACAACGAACTCTAGTAAGAGGGCGTGGCTTAAAAATTCAATAACATCGTCTAGTAAACTTTCGCTGTAATTCCCCGTTTTCACACCGAAGAAAGTTGTGCTCGCGTTATAATTAAAAGCTGATGTCTGCCTAAGTTGATATGTAGTTTTTGAGAAGCTGGGAATTTCCCTCGCGATAGAGGATCGCGCGAAAGAAAGCGCATGTTCTTCGGAGCGACAATTTCCAGAAAATAGCGACGAACAGAAGAAGACCGAGGTCGTGGAGAGAAAATACGGATGAGGAGGTGAGGAAGAGAAGGAGAAGGAAAGCTAACCGACTGCATATCTACCTTACGTCTTTTAGCGTACGTATATGAGACAGACGACCGACAAGCTCAATTTTATTTGGAAAAAGGATACAACTATCAAATACGATAGCCAAATATAGTCAAGTATCTCAGATTACAATAAATCCAACAGATTCATCAAAGTATCTGATACTTTGCTAATCTTTCTCCAGACATTTTGCAGAATCTGTTCTCGATAAAGTTTGCTATCTGAGATACCCTGCTAACATTTTGCTTGCTGAAATATTGTGGTGCTGCAATTCTGTTTTTTTTTTTTTTTTTTTTTTTTTAAGTTGTCCCTATCCTATGACATTAATATTCTCAAAATTGTCGGGTAATAATCATGTTTACATTTTCAAAATTATCAATTATAGTGTAGTGCACTCTATGACTTTTTATGCATTTTGATTAGAGAATATTCATCGAACTATGTTCAAAAAATTCCGAGTAGCTATTTGGACTGTAGTAGAGCTTTGTAACAAGTTTCCGCCTACATGGCGTAGTCGCAACATTATACATTACGCGCTTGATACCAGTTGGTGATGGTAACGATTATGCTTCACTTCTCCTATTTTCTTCATCTGTCTCATAGAAATTAGAATTATAGTAAACAAAATGCATAAGCATAACGTAGCATAGCATAAGGCCGTCTGAATCAATAAACGTTCAGCATAAAGTTTCCATATTGATTTGTTTACATAACATTCTTATTGATCTAGACGTTTTATGCTGGCTATGTTATGCTTATGCATTTTGTGTGCTATTAGTCCTTAATCACTATGGCAAAATATATTCGTAAAAATAGTGAGCATTAATTTGATTTCAAGTAAAAATTTCTTTATTTCAAGACAAAAATACGCATCAAAATTTAATATTTAGCGTGTTTAATATATTTATTAATAATATTTATTAATAATTATTTTTTTGCTCCGTTTAAAACATTACTATATAGCAGATTCAATTGTCACATAAAAAATCTTTTAAACGTTTACGTTTTATATATTGGACGTTTAGGCAATTATTGTTTTTAACACCAAAGAGTTAGAACTTGTACAGCACAAAAAGATTACAGAAACATCCCCGAAATTACTGCAAGATTGCAACACATCGTACAGTAATCTTTTTTACAATATTTTTACCATTAATATTGCTACAAATTGTTGAAATTGCATGTCTCTCTATAACGCCTGTAATATTTTACCGCAATTCATAAGATTATAATGTTGCTGTATAATTGAAAACTTCTGTGCTGTACGGGGAATATGATGTAAGTTCATGCTTCACCGTTGGTGTACTTTACGCAGGTGATCTATTTTCGCTGGAGATAAATGCGAGAAGAGGTTCTCCATCGTCTCTCGTCGTCGCAGACTCTGTCTATCAACCCACGAGTTCCACGGAAGAGTCAATGAACCCGTGGGTAAAACCCGCGGCACAAACGAGGTAAGATAACTTTTCTAAACGCTCATATTAATTTTAATAAGTAGCAAATCGCAATCAGCTTCCCAAGCACTTCGAAACATGGGCTTTAAATTCAATTTATTCTACAAATTGGACATCGATTTATGCCTGCATAGCTGATACTACTTATTCACAAGTAAAAGAAGGACGTGCAAAGTAAACATAGCGTAGAGACACATTAGCGGATCAGTTAACTTTGAGTCAGTTTACATATAACTGATCAACTTCGGTCGGTCCTCATTGATTTTAAATCATGAATAATAATTCGTTTATATAAATGTTTTTACAATTTGTTACAGGACAATACGGCTGGCGCTGCTTGGTGTGCCCAAGTGACGATCAGAAATGGTACGTCCTAGAAATAAAACGAGGGCGCCTGCGGATCGAGTGCCAACCTGAACCCTCGGTTTGGCGTACTTCACCTTCCCCACGTCACGACCAATCTTTTCGTACAAGCTGTGAAATCAAGTGCCAAATAAGCCGTAGATTATATATATCTCCCTCACACGCGAGCGTAAATTATATAAAGCGTTACTATAAAATAATTATAACGATGCTTTGTAATAATTATTACAACGTGCAATAATTATTACAAAATAATTTCACGTATGTTTCGAAATATCCGCGATCGATGCATTTTTAAGAGATGAAGAATGACGTCCAGAGAAAATCAGATTGAAGATGACTGCACTAAACAGACATGTACCAAGCGACATATCAAATGTATCTTCGAATTCTTAATACGTCGTCTCTATCGAAATTTAAATCCACGTTTCGACGTAAATTTAAATTTGATGTGACGAAAGGGCAACTGCGCGTGCGTAAGCTAATTTGATGTCACACGTCACATGTGTGTCATAAATTATCGCGCGATTCGTGATACTATGCATTCAACGATTCACAAAGGCATGTCTGTGCAGTGCCGTTGAGAACAAAGATTCTATATCAATGACTATTGGAAATTTTATTATAATTTCCATTATTATACATTGCGTGAGGAATCGTTAGAAAGAGTAATTGTAGGAAAGTAATATATATATGTATCATAAGAAATATAAATTTCTCAACGATTCACTTCACTCCAATATCGTTTTCTTTTAGCTTTTCATTTTAAACTTTTGCACGCCAATTTTACGCGATAAAAAAGTATATAATAGAATTCTATACTGAATTAAATTGAGGTAATTGCTACCTTCATTGTAGGATATTATTTCATCAATCTTATCGAAACTAAGCTAGGCTTGCGTGTGTCTTTATATTTGAAAAATATATATGTGTATGTGTGTACGTATGCTTCAACATTTAATGTTAATTGATATACGTATTAGAGTGTAAACAATGTGTTTCTAGTCCTACTTTTCGTTCGATCGTATAACACAACGAACGTGCCTTAGCATCATGTATATCGATCTTGAGTGATTTGATAGATTTAGTATTTTTCGCAAGAAGTGTGTATATCCAAACACTTACCGTATTTATGCTGTATAGATTTTCAGAGCAAAAATGATTTGATCAAGCCAGTTCGACCATTATGGCTGTTTGCCTTGCTTACAGATTCATTTCATACATAGAATTGATTTTATTTGTCACGTGTGTATCTGCAAGAAATGAATAAAACTGCCCATCTGTTCTTCATCTTTTTTTCTTATTATTAAATTGCTAATTTCTAGAACGAATAAGTTAAACTAAATCTTATTTTTATTATTCAAATAAAATATATCTTTCAAATAATTACTAAATAAAAAATTCTACTCGGTTTATTATACAGTCAATCTACCATCATATTTTATTATATATCTGTCCACAAAAGATATTGATTAGAGCAGATATTTTACAAAATCTGTTTTTGGCAGATTTTACTGGATGCTATATTTACTTGTTAATATGTTTTGCAGCTACGTCTTTTGATCAGAGGACTTGAATACGTTTTCGGGGATTTTCGTCTGTTTATCGGGGACTCCTCGTTTGCCGTAAGCGGCAGATGCAGCGACGCCCATCAGCAAGGATGGCAATGTACATTCCATAAAACGGACCCTCTCGACGAGTACGTTACGCTTTCTCTCCAATGAAGCGTTCCTCTTCTCGTAGCTTTTCAGCATTTGCCTCCAATAACTCGTTTTATTAGTATTAATTTCACTTGCGGATCTATCTATATTTGCTACAGCGGCTGAGGTTCTGGAGAAATCAGCCATCGTTCACAAAAAATTTTGACAAGCTGAAATTAGGTTACTAAATAAACGTGAATAAACGCTCTAGGCTACATCATGAAGTATCTTCCATTAACATCAACCTTTAATCTTCAAATTTCGAGTCACGTTAGCACCAAAATAACCAAAAAAGGTACGAAATGGCAAGTGACATGGCGATATAAAATAAAAATGGCTCAACATTATTGGAAGTCGTCGGAATCATTCGTGTTGTCGTTACGCTGTTATTATTTCAGATTAGACTGAATTTATTTTGTTTAAATTAAACGCGATGGAAATAGCAGGCGACGCGAAAGATGTCGCAAAACTTCGTTCTCTTACCATTCCGATTCCATCGAAGCAAGGTGTCGTGCTGATGAATCACGACATCCCTTCGTCAGGCATAACACATTCACAATCTAAAATGCCCCCTTGTCCTGCATATCGTTTCTGCAGGAAGCTAAGAGGGCCTTATCGTTCGCCTATGCTTGATAGCGATCGTGATCATCAGCAGCAAGTAGGTCGAATTTAAAAATCGAATCTGGTAAACGCACACCTTTTCTGTCACAGTATAATTTTATAATTTATTTTATCTGTTTGATATCGTAAATAATAAGTTAAGAAAATTTGAATCATTGTAAATAATAGACGTCTCGGGAAAAAATGAAGATTTCATTATATATGTGTGGATCAAATTAGATCAAATAAGATCAAATTGTATCTGATGAGATTTAGTTTTTAGATATAATCAGATCTTCAGAAATCTAGCTTGGCCTCACATGATTGATGTCATATCCATTAAGATCTAAATAGATAATCTGCGATATAAATAAAATGCTATATTAAAAGCATATTGTAGATCTAAGAGAATATATTGATATATATGAATATTTAACTTTATACAATGAAACTAAATGTAATAAATATTAGATCTACAGAAATATAATAATATCAAAGAAGATATATATATATGTACAAGTGTAATCTGATAAAAATTGGCATACATATCTACAAAGATCTACAGAGACATAATAATATCAAAATAGATCTACAATCTTGGTTAAAGGTATAAGGCAATAAGGCACAATTGCAATTTTGTCGCATTTTACGAAAAGTTAAGTATCTTGACAAAAAAAATCTCAGAGGTTTTCAACCACGCATTTTAAAGCTTAAAAATATATTATATGATATATACTAATGAGATAAATGTTTATATATTAAGATATAAATAGATCAAAGTATATCTACATCGATCCATTTTGATCAGGTCAAAATGAAGATCTCTTAAGATCTCTTTAGATCGAATGAGATCTACATATATATAGTGAAATCTTCTTCATTTTTTTCCCGGGCATTTATTTAAAGAAATGACAAAAGTATTAATAAACATTGCGAAATAAGTGCTGATCTTACCATTAAAAATCATTGCATTGTTCAATTTATTTAACGTACATATGTGTACGTGAATGTCTATAATTAATTTACTTGAGTCTACATTAAGAAGGAAATAACAAATTGCTAACAGATCACAATACTCCACGATTTATTGCAAGCGATTAAAGAAGCTGCGTTAAAATTGATCGAATTAATTACGATAGAGGAGCGACGGAGGAGAAGCGCGGATCCTCGAATATGCTATCCTGATTCAAGACGATACGAGAGGAGTATTCAAGTAATGAAATTTTTATTTTTGGATTTGTCACTCACTAATCACATTTACGATAAAAAATAATCAGAAAAATTGAAAATAAAATAGCACTAATTGTGATCAACTTCTGTTAGCCACATAATCCTGAATCTGGATTAATCGCGACTACGTCCTCCTCAGTTTGTGCACTCTGTGGCGTCGCACTTCACCTGAAGGATTCTTCAGAGAAATCAAGGCAATTCGTGGTCGATAGAGAAAGAAGTGATGATTACGGTCACGGTATCTCACCGAAACAGCTTGAGAATATGTTTTTGAAAATGATCTATAAAATTCCTTCACCTGCCGAAAAGGATATAAATAGCGATAATTTCTCTATTCCTGGAGGTGTACTTGATTATATTATTTCCAAAAAAAATGGTAGTATTGATCGCACGAAAGGACAAGAAAAAGTCTCTTCAAAAACCCAATCGACTGATACGAATGAGAGCGGATTACAATCAAAGCTGTTGTTTATACAACGAAAATCTTCCGATAAGATCGCGCGTCAAATACGTCAAGATGAGTCTCAACGAAGGTGTGGTAGTACAAGTCAAATACCGAGATACGTTAGTGAGTAAAAAAAACAAATTTTATTCCTGAAAGAAATTTCTATTGCTTATTTTACACTATCGACTATCAAGAGATAATAGATACTATTTATATAAGCCATGACTGTTGTTCATGTAAAATAGCTAGCAAACATGAATATAAGACCAGTGAATTATCACATCAATGCATCGTCAATATATCGTCTACAATTTGCTCCACCCAAGATGCAGCGACATTTACTCAGGAAATGGTAAATCAAATTTATTACTCATATTAAGAACATTACTCGAAAATAAGTCTTTGCTTCGTTAGAAAAAATATATCCTATTAAAAATATTATTCGAAAAATAGAATGTGATATATGTGTAATAAAAACAATTTACATAATAGCAATTCTTTGAACGTAATGTATATCGTAATATGAACAAATATTTTAATACTTTTTTAATCGTATTAATATAATGCAATTAAAAATTTATAAAATTTGATAGTGAAAAATCGTAAAGTTATGATAATTAATTGTAACAGAATTATTTTCAGCTTTGTCCATGCGCATGTGGATTGCTTATAAAAGATGGAACCGAAAGCAAAGTGTCTATCAATCCGATGTCTATATTGAAAGACGAACTTATTAAAACGTACAATATTATATAAACATATAATTTTTATTCTTTTCACCCAATACAAAACATAAATAAATATAAATTCATAAACATAAATAAATAAACATAAATTTCTCGATTTCTGCAAAACTCAGCTCAAAAAATTAAATATCATATAAATTACACATTAGTATTTTTATTTCAAAACATCTCTTCTAAAACAAATGATTGCGATTATGAAATAACATATTTTGTGTATTTTTTTAGTAAACTTGAAGAGTTAGGTCTGCATTTAGATTCAAGAGAAATAACGCAAACAAAAGTACATGGTGACACAGTAAAGGTCAAGAAAACGAAAATGCAGAAGTTGGAAAAAAATATGAATGTCAAACGTTGGGTAGAGGAAGTTGTGCAATTGCGGTTACAAGTGCAAATTGAGGAGCTGCATAAAAATATTCAATTTTTCAAACAAGAAAACGAATATATTCGACATCTTTCAGAAAAATGTCGCCGTTTGTCAGAAGACATAAGGAATTTACAGCAATTGCTAGCGATCAGAGAAACATACTCTGGTGAGGATTTACATTTAGAATGTATAATCTATTTTTTGTATTTTTAATTTAGCATATTACAGAATGTGCATTACGAAGTTTCAGGATTTACGACAACGATTAAGCACTTACAAGCAAAATATCACAATCAACACGGAATAATAGCCACATTAATCGGGATGTTTCAAGGTTCAATAAACATTCAGCAAATCGCTGCGAAACTATT